GCAACTCTTACACTTCTTTCGTGCTCTCCAAACTTCCCACATGCTCCATAACTAGATAGTGCACGCTAAAGCATGAACCAATTGTTAATTAAATTGCCGATTATCAACTTGCAAAATTCCCAAATCCTGAGTTCTTTTTATATTCACAAGGTTCAATCTCAAAATTCTTCCCTTTCCCCCTTTCTCTCAAAATCCAAAATCTGAGTTTTAACCCTTTAACACCATAACATTAGTTTGCATATTCTCTATACTGTTCTCTATACATTTCCTAAGGTGTTGACATGGAGAGTCTGGTTGACAATTAAGAGCTTCTTTGGTTTGTCATCCTTTCCTTAGTTCTCATGAACTTAGTGTGTGATTCGGGGGTGATACTGTAAGGAGAACTTAGATGCTAGTCAATCTTAGGGGTTTAAGAGTTCAAGATGCCAAATCCTCCAATACGAAACATGATAGTGTACAAGCTCTAGCCTGCTCTAATTCAGTGCTATCAACAAACCTCTTTTCCACCATCACGACCAAATCCACTCTCACGGTATCCACCAAACCCAGCTGCAGCATCAAAAAGGTTATGTCCATTGACCCATACAGAGCCAGCCTTGATGCTCATAGCAACCTCCAAGGCTAGTGACAAATTTTCTGTCCAAACACTTCCTCCAAGCCCATAGTTGGTGTTATTAGCCAAAGCTATTCCTTCCTTTGCAGTTCTGAATGTGAGGACTGTCAACACAGGGCCAAATACCTGTAATAAGAATATATACTTTTAGCAAATTATAGAGAATACAAATCCAATTAAAATTTGTTGTTATTTTTGTGGTACCTCTTCCATCACAATCTTGGACACTGGTTGTACATTAGTAATGAGGGTCGGCGGATAGTACGACCCATTAGACGGCATACTTGCACAGCTTTGATACACTTCAGCCCCCTCCTTCCTTGCTTCTTCTACAAAAGCTTCAATGGCCTTTTTCTGTGAAGGGTCAACTATTGCTCCCATGTCAATCCCTTTATCAAGGCAGTGTCCAAGTCGAAGATGTGTCATACGTTCTTTGATCTTGTCTACCAGCTGCTTGGCACAGGTCTCTTGGACAATCAAGCGGGAACCAGCACTGCAAACCTAAAAGCCAACACATCATTATAATTACTATGACTGTCTCTGAGATTACAATTAATGCATTGACAACCACAAATTAAATGACTGGGACTCTTACGAATGCAAAATTCTTTCAAGGAGAGCATTACATGATTGTCTAGGAATGAAGAATAAATTTGAAGGTCCATATTTCAAAGCCAAATCCTACAACTCTGAGGTGAAAGCACTTTGTGTATAATGGTACCCCATCAGTGTCAACCATTGGCAAAAATACAAAAGAATCATAAAAATACATGTTATCTAGAAGTACTTTCTTGGTTGCTGCTCCAAAATTTTTGAACAATTAACCCTAGGATTTACCTTGTGTGAGATGTTTCAATACTTTAGAATAAATGTTAAAGAGCTCTCTTTTTAGACTTGCTTTTAATAATTAGATTTTATTGTAACATCTATATATAACTACCAGTAGTTTCCCAATTATTTTTAATATATTAGATATTTAAATTATATTTTTTTAATAGCTTTTGATAGATAAATTTGAGAAGTTTTAGTATTTTAAGTATCAGTATTTTAAGTATTAAAATTATTATTAAATTATTATTATTATTATTATTTATAATAGATGCATAATTTTAAAATGCATGTTTTAGCCAAGGGCCTGATAGGTGGGTATTGAAAGGCCCTCAAACCCTGATTCGGTGTTGGGGGGAAAAATCTGTTTATTTTGCTGCTCACTTTAATTTAAGGCTACTAATTTTACAAATTGAAACAGGTAAACCTCAGCATATGAAGACAGAGTTTAAGAATTAGAGGAGACTAAATGTTGTGAAAGTTTGCACTCTAACCAAAGCTTTCCAGCCTGCAAGACACCCTGTTCAAGAGGGAATAGTAAAATTTCATACCTTGTTTGAGACTTACAACCCCAAAAACCATACCTGTTTAATGACCAAACCCAATTACACAAAGTAAAGGAATTATAATTGTCCCTTGTGGATATTTTCACCACCAAATTCTCATAACAATTTGTGTTTGAATTTAAGGCTTTTCTGCATGATTTTGTATTCAGAATGAATGGAAAGTACAAAAAAAAGAATCAGTGTAGTTACTGCTTTTGTCAAATTACAGAAAACAAAACAGAACAAAATTCCTAACCTGGCCTTGGTTAAACCAAATGGCATCTACAATACCCTCAACTGTGCTGTCCAAATCAGCTGAGTCAAAAACAACCACAGGGGATTTACCACCAAGCTCTAATGACAGTTTCTTACCAGATCCTGCTGTTAGTCTACGGAGAACTTTTCCAACCTACAAAATCAAAAAAATTAGAGAATGGGTAATGACTGAACTGAAAATTTTCAGACTACTTGAATTTCAGTTTGTATCAAAGTTTGTTTTATTCATATTACATTGTAACAGCCACGACCTTAATTCAACTAATGAAAATGACAATCTAACTAGTATTTACTTATCAGCCAGAGAAAAAGTAATTAAAAGCTTTTCTCCATTACATGGTCATGCACACAGTTAATTTTTTAAGTTATATAACTATGTAATGCACACTTTTTACAATTACATGACTGTATTTCTACGAGAGTCATTCAACTAGAGCAAACTCATTGAATACCTCAGTAGAACCTGTAAAAGCCACCTTGTCAACATCAGGGTGTGCTGCAAGTGAACTTCCAAATGCACCATTTCCAGTAACAACATTAAACACACCAGGAGGAAGCCCTGCCTCAGCACAAATCTCAGCAAACAGAAGAGCTGATAGCCTGGTGTAAGTTGCTGGTTTGAGCACTACTGTGTTACCCATGGCAAGAGCTGGGCAAACTTTCCAACAAAGTAGCATTAGAGGGAAATTCCATGGTACTATGGCAGCAACCACACCAACAGGTTTCCAATCTAGAGAGGATTTAAATCACATGATTACTGGAACTAAGCTCACTTACATGAGAGAGAAAATGATACCAAATTAATATAATTGCAATTGTGCCAATCAGTGCTCAGTACTGAAGCCTGCTAAGGTGTGAAAGAATTTAAACAGAATTCAGTGCTCATTCGCTGTAATCTGACTGGTCAGTGTTTTACAAGTTATCCCAATTCTACATGATTGGACAGAACAAAAAATGTTTAAGCATCGTCAGGGCTCAACACTTACAGTAGCCATCTAGCCACAGACTGGTAGAAATTCAGTTTTGGCTAGTGGTTTTCGATTTCCACTGGCCAGTTTGACTAGTAAACAAACTGAAATTGTAACATCTAATTGTAACATCTAACAAATTGAAATTGTAACATCTAAGTTATCCCTTACCACTTGGCTAGTAAGTTTAAAAGTTAGTGTCGAGCCCTGATTGTCTTGGATGAAACTTGCTCAGCTTTAAACTCAATTCTCTGATATGCAATGAATTGTTTAACACCTACAGCACAGCAAGTGTACTGAAAAAGTTCTGTCATATTATCTTCAGTTGATGTCAACCTCAAGAAAACATAACTCAATACATGGCTTTAGTGAAACTAATGGATTTTAGAATATTCTTATTTTCCTTAAGTTTTCTCTTGAAAGTAGTTCAGTTAGAGCAGTTATAGATGTCATCTTTCTTGAGGAGTTATCTTGATGATGACCTAGCAACTCTGTAATTATCACTGACGGCCATACCTACCTGGTACTTCTTGTTACCTGTAACTATTTCCTGTATGAGTAAGAGTAACATTAAGACTCTCACTGAAAAAGGAACTTCTTTTTCACTTACAAATTGGAATTAGCAAATTATTAAGACAAAGTTTTATTTTCGTCACAAACTGTTTACCTCTCATTTCTGTATCCATCAATTGAGCCCAACCAGCATGATGATAAAGGTGTCTTGCAACAATCTGTACATCAGCATCTCTTGTCTCTCTGATTGGCTTACCATTGTCCATACTTTCAAGCACAGCCAGCAAGCGGGCATGCTTTTGAACATGACGTGCTATACTGTACAAATAACGAGCTCGTACATGACCGGGAAGCTTACTCCATGATTTGAAAGCCTCTCTTGCTGCACCTACTGCTTGGTCTATGTCCTCTTGCTCACCCTGCATAGTGGAGGCTAGTTTTTCTCCTGCAAAGTAAATGTTGTTTTCTTATCAAAAATAGAAAAGCATTCCGCATGAGGATGTGACAAACACTATTGATATGCTCTTCTGTTTTTGTACTGAATCTAATGAATACAAACATTCCAAAAAGGTAGATAATCTTAAACAGGTTGACTGTGGAATCACTGCTGCTACAATCACAAAAACCTGTCTAAGGCAAAAGAGAAATTAAGCCAATGAATGTTGACATTGTCTGAGAAAGTGATGATCTTTGACTGAGTGTTCAACGAAGAGAGTAACTCCTGTGTGACCAAAAATGTTCTGATTCAGGTAAAATCTGATTGTCTTGTGCAGTAAAAATATGACAAAAGATAGGGTAATCTAATCTACCGAGGGGAAGCAGATGGCTTATTCAAGCATTCTAATTTATTTGTTTTCCTGGTTGCTGATTCTCACACTGATACATAATCCCTCCCCCATGAAAAAAAAAACAAAAAACACCCGATTGCTGGTTACTCCCAGGTACCTTATCCTGCTAAGTACAGCTTGATAGAGGGGAGGGGTGGGGGAAGGCATCACTGAACCCTGATAGAGCTGCAAGGAGCAGGAGCAGTGTTCAAGGCAAGGTTCTAGAATAAATTTACAAGAAATTTCTGAATAACTCATAATCGAGATCAGCTGATGCCATTGTAACTCAAGTCCGCGATCCAGTACAGTGCATTTTGCAGGGGGCTTCATTAAAATAGTATGGTCACATAAGGATCACTGCAGCTCAACATAACCAACAGTGGCCTTAACAACAAACTTCATCGCTCACCTGTGGACGGATTTCTTGTCTCGTAAACTTTCCTCCCTTCGGGCTTCACCCATTTCCCGTTTACGAAATGTCCGAAGTCCTTTCCATGTTCTTCAAGCCATGAGTCCACGCTGCTAGCTCCTTCAGGTGCTGGACCATAATCTAAACTCTCAAAAATCTGCGCTATAGTGGGATCTTTGTTCAGTTTTGCGGAACCAGTGGATTTTACATCACTAGAAGCAATAGTTTCGGTGCGAACAGAAGCCATGTTGTGGTTTTTAGCTAGACAAGAAAATTAGATACTCGTGGCGAAATGTACAAATGATAAATCTTGCTGTAGGTCTGGTAACGAAACATCAGATCGAGGACCTGTGGGAAGAGAGTGGGCGGGTCGTCCGCACACATAAAGCGCGATGAGCGATGTCTTCTTTTCCTCTATTTCTTTTTTCTTTCCTTTTTTTTTAATGGTTATTACCTAAAAAAGATCAATCGAAATACAATCCAGGATGAAATCGAACCTCTTGGTGAGAGCATCTCGTGTATGTGCATGGTCTTTCGTGATCGAAACCAGTTTCATGCGTTGGCGGGCAACTTACTATTCTGCTTCACTAATCCTACCTTGACTAGAGTGTAAACTAGGCGCCAAGGCCTCTAAGTTTAGATGATTGATAGTCTCTGTTACTTTGAGGTAATTATTGTCCCTGAGACTGAGAATTTCTTTGCTTCAAATTACAATTTTCTTTTGTTTGCTAAAATTGTTCTGTTAGTCATTAGGTATGACTCAAAGCTTAGGTAGAACCGTTCACTTGAGTCAGATCATTCGTCAGTGACTATAACTGCATTACACAGCTCCTCAGGAGTCCAGTGACAATTATTTTTTCTATACGCTTATACATGCATAAATAGGCTGGATAAATTTCCAATTAACATTCGCCTGAGATGCCGAGTGCAGGGGTCTCTAGCGCGAGCTAGTCAGCACCACGAGTCATAACTAAAACACTTCATTCCTAACCAATGGGGCTGAAAAATAATGAAAAGAATCGATTAAATTCATTTTTTCGGTTTTTATCCCGTTCTACTACACTTCATCTATTTAAAATGTTAATCGCAATGATCTCTATGTGCTTTGTTGGGCCAACACCAGTCTCCCATGGAGCTACTGCAAGGTCACTACAGAAATACATCAGTCACACTGGTGCTGGGGTCTGACAACCTGTTAGGCACGATCAAAATTATATTTTTAATTAATGTACTTAATCAAACAAGAAAATTATAACTGTCTCCATCGTTTCGTTTTTTCGACAACATATCGCTGTACTGCAACTAAAATTGAATTATTCTTCGCAAGTTTCCTTTGATTTATCCTCCAAACCACCGATGATCACGATACTTCCTTCAGAAAATAGGACTTTATGCTTTTAGATATTATAAGTAACAATGAATATTTATTGGTAAGGCACCTTAATGATCACTGAGATGGGTCAGCGGATTTAGGTAGAACGTTTTCCAAAAGGACTTCTGCAGTTAATTGTCGAGGAGCTGGCGGCTCGTACAAAGTCACCACGTATGTATCAACGCTGCCATCTTTCTTTTTCACTAAAGCATAACCAAAACCGATCTTCAAGTATGACTTCCAAACGAGCTATGAAGCAATCGGAATTCCATACTTAATTCTTGAAGCAAACAAAAATCTCGAATGACAAGCAAATAAATGTTCAAGATGTGTTTGAACGGATTGCCAAATGATCAACTATACTGGTAGTCATCAGAGCAATTTATAAGTCATTCAACGTCGATGGTGATCGTGATTTGGGATTTCATTGGTTAATTTTGCTTTTCGTTGCTCTTTGAATTGTGAATCAGGTCCCGTTATTTAAAGAAAATCTAAGTTTCTCTAAAACCAATCGCAGCTTTGTCACTGTCGTTATCTCATATGCTGAAGCCCGTTTCAGGAAGTATTGACCTATAGCTGTCGTTGCTTCCTTTTATTTTTTTCTTTGGACTGACTGGGTTTCGTGTTTTATATTACAACAATCACCAGTGTCCTCTATGTAGCTATAGGTCGTTTTGTGTACCCACACATGTACCAAGCCATGACTGTGAGAGTAAAATACTCATGGAAGCAATGTGAATCAGTAGGACATAACGGATGCGCTCTTATCTTAAAAACCAAATTTAGCACCGGGAAGAACACAAATTACGAAGAATTGTCTGGGAAAAATCAGGAAAGAAATCTGTACAAAGGTTAATGTATGGCACTTACTCTTATAAAGTCACTGTTTTCGAAGTTTGACTGTGGGCCGGTTTTTGTAGTTGTAAAATCGACCACCGTCTGACCTTCAGGAAAATATCAGCGAAATCAAAGTGAATGAAACTGAAATATTTCGTAACGTACATGGCAGTGATGATAAATATACTAACAGTATATTTAGGGTCTGGGTAAGGGTTTACACAATGTTGCTAGGTATGGACCTCTGAACTGTTCCGACTGAACTTGTGTAGGCTGAAACTCATTTAATTGGCTCAACCTCCCAAGTTACCCTCATTACCAGTGCTCTAAATCATCACTTATAGTCATGGGAAGCCATGACTTTCCATGAAACAAGTTCTCTTCCATATTTCCGTATATTTGCAATTCGGCATCAGTTTTTGCCATGTAAGCAGCCAAACTTTGAGCTTTTTCCTCGAGCTTATTACTGTACGTCACATCCGGGACATGATATCGCCTCCGATAAAGGTTGTGCTCTGAACAGTCCGAACGGATGCTGGCAAATACTGCTAACCAAAAGACAGGAGCATAACTAGAAGAGGAGGGAGAGTGGTGATAGAGACGTGGTCCCGTCCCCTCCAGTTTGTCACGAAAAGTAATACTTTGTAGCTAATACAGTGATTCCTTATTAATTAGCTAAGAGGCTAAGACAGGATCCCCAAGCAGGAAACTAAACCTGACTAACGTTTCGTAAATTCTCAGGAAAAGGGAATCATTTTTGAAAACCGTTTGCACGGTTATGAAAAGAAGAAAAAAAACAACTTTGGCGAAATTTGTAGCATCGGATCATCTAATTGCCGAAGTATAAATACCCTCAACTTTTTCTAGACAAGAACAGAATATCAATGGACAATTGGGAAAAGTATCCTGTGATAGTAATTTTTTTCTCAGGACGTCATCGCGTTGAATTAGTTACGAACCGGCTCCAATTGAAAACAAATTCTTCAGGTAAGTTTTCTTCCCTCTCCAGATTTGTGCGAAAGTAGCGATGGGACACTATAAACCGTTAATTTGCCCAAAAAAAAAAAATCAGTGTAGCAAATCAGAAATAGTATCAACAAATTTCTTTATATCTCACCATCTTGAAAAGCCAGGGAGGTGCAGAAAATCCAACAGTATCTTTTGAAAATCATTTTCTTAATCTCTGTGTTGGTGGTATTCAATTGCAACGATTTCAAAATGACACAACCATCAAGCACGTAAAACTTTCACCCCCACGTCTGGCCATTGAGTAATTTCTCCATTTGCTATCCATGCATTCAAGGGTAATGAGAACAAAGAAAAAAATCGAGTGGCAAGTATTTTCCGATTTGACACCAAATTCTCAGAACTGATGTCATGTAAACTAGGTGCGAGAGTAGAGAGATTTAATACTGAGATGTTAAAAATGAAAAAGTTAATTCATTGTTACCTGGTAACAATATGCATTGTTTGGAGTAATCTGTACCATTAAGTGAAATTTTTTATTAATTACAACGTTCCTTCTTAGCTAATGCTGTGTGCTTTGTTTAAACCTCCAAAAAATTGAAAACAATACATAGCAAAACAAAACAAACCAAAGCACGAACCAGGCAATGAACCCTAAATCCTGATAGCTAAAACTTGCTTTATCGGGAAAGATATAGAAAATATGGCCAATTAAAATGTACAATTACCTATTTACAATATTCTAAAACTTCTTGCGGTTGAGAGTGTCAATGTTTGTTGAACTAGATTGAAAGCAAATAATCAAAATACCAATCTTTGACTGAAGTTTCTTCGTAACCAAACAATAAAAACCCATTAGCTCAGTTGGAATTTGCAGAAATCACGTTCCTAGTTTCTTAATAGGTTGTTATTTTCTCGAACCAGTCTACAGAATATTTGATTATTTACTGCAACTCTTAATTTTCCTATCTATTAGAAGTTCTTTTCAAGCAGCTCTTCATTGGATTATCTACTTTTGCAAATGTTGAAGGAGATTTTGCTGTGCAATCAATTTATTCCATTGGAGACACGTCCGTTCCTCGGACAATTAGTGACGCAGTGGAGAATCGGTTGGTGAGTTGTACATATATCTCGTACCAACTGGGTTCGAGGTCCGTACTGTTAGTTACGGACCGAGTTTTTGCCGCTCAGATTTGTGGCCAATATGCGGAGAGGCAGACCATAAATCTGAGGAAGAAAAAGCGAGGTTCCGTTAATTACAGTACAGGCCTAGACAACGAGGTTAGTAAGACATTTATCATATCTATGGGATAAAATTGAGGAGGAATTTTTAAATTTAAACAAACTTTCTAATTTAGCAGCCCTTAAAATGAACTACGGCCCACTAGTATTAAATTGACCAATCAGCGCACGCACTAAGAGATATAATAAAGAGATTTAGCACTGCGTTTATGTGAAACGTTAACGGCAAGAGTGACAACGTAACCTTGTTTTTTCCGCCATTTTTTCGCGTTTGCGGGTTGCGCTTTGACGTTTCTACGTGAAAGTAACCTGTTTCGCGTCGGCCGTGTACGCAGGATTTTCTTCACTTTTTCTATCACAGAGTAGAAGTTAATTACGGGAAAAAGGGCACCAAAACTATTCCTTGTAAGTCATACAAGGGCACCTTCAAATCCACCATGACGTGAGTTCACGCAAAGCTGAAGCAGCAAGGTTCAGGCTATTTTACGCGAAACGTGAAAGGGAAAGCTGACGTTTGCAGTTCCTCGTAAACGCGGTGCTAAATCTCTCTTTTGACTGATAATTTTAGCTTAGTGAAGGCCATCCGACCACAGGCGAAGATAAAATCAAAACTGGTGAGTGTCCTTGCGAAAACAGCCGTTTTGCCATGCGAAATGTATGGCTGAAAACAATAGAAGTATATTAGTCAATGGACTCTCATGACAAGATGGAAAACAATGCAGCATCAGCTATTATCATAATCGGTTTCTCATACTCATCCATGATCTCATGCAGCATCATTTCTGTACACATTCCAGGTATAACGAAGGAATTTCATACAATCACAAACAGCCCGAAATCTCCTCAAGCAACAGTCGCTTCGTAGAGGTAGGATTATACATCCTGCATTCTTGAATACTCTTGGTCATTTCAGGTTGAATTATCTCTCTAGTTGTGTGGAGGCGCGGTGGCCTCATGGTTGGTGCGCTCGACTCCGGATCGAGTGGTGCGGGTTCGAGCCCCGGCCGGGACATTGTGTTGTGTTCTTAGGTAAGGCACTTTACTCTCACAGTACCTCTCTTCACCCAGGTGTTGAAATGGGTACCGGCCATTTAATGCTGGGGGTAACCCTGCGATGGACTGGCATCCCATCCAGGGGGGAGTAGAAATACTCCTAGTCGCTTCATGCTACAGAAACCGGAGTTAAGCACCGGCCTAAGGGGCCACTAGGCTCGTAAACAGACTTTACCTTTTTCTTTTTCTGGTTGATGTGGAAGTCCCACAAGAAAATGGGTTGCGAACTGGCCGTGGTTCAAAATGCCGCAAATATCCGCACAGTGGTGGTAACAATATATGAACCTGCTGCAATGCGAGTTGAGGGCATTTGCCTACAGGGCATTTTCATCCGAGTTATTAAATACTAGTTTTCGATTACTTTTTCTCCTTTAACAGAGCAAGGAAAAGGCACAATGGATTGAAGACTACTGCTGACAGAAAATTATACATTAAAAAGGTGGTGGTAAAGGTTGAAATTAAGGGTATTTAGGTAACAGAATACGTAATTTGGAACTCAGAAATAAAAACCTCCTTTTTTCCGGTGCATTTACGAGTTTATTTTATTGGGTTTTTTTGCCGTAATGTACAATAAATAGATTGTTGTCTGCAGTGACACGTAACAACGCTGTCAAGTATTCCTTACATTTTTACTGTCTTCAAACTATCAAAAAGAACGAGAATGGTTTCACAAGACTTTGAACACATTATATTAAAACGCTCATGGCGATGTAAGAAAGAATAAGGGATTTCAGCCTGATAACTTTTCAACAGGCCATCCATTTGAATCTCCGAGAAACAGCAAACTAAAAATAAAGTTAAAGAAATTCGGATGATATTGACAAGCTCGCTCACAGTCTGGGACGTAGTTTACCTCCAAAACTTGAGGTACTATTTCGTTTGAGCCTGAAAAGAAGGGGAGGAAAAAAGAAGGATCTATAAATAGCGTTTCACACACAATACTCAGTCTTCCTTAGGAGGACTTCACCAAATTAGGGACAGATTCCGATTTTGGCCTTGCAACTTGCGTTTTCCAACTGGTTCAATTTGGCCCCTTTTAGCAGCAAGAACTATCTAAGCAAAGAGAAAATGTAAAAGGAAAAGGAAGACGCAAATGTACGAGTGTGTCCCTTAAACCAATCTGCTTTGACAGGGAAGTGTTACCTATCCTTCTGGTTAATTTATTAACTGTGTTCGCAAAATTGGCTAGCTGATCTAAAAAAATATCTGTTACGAACTTACCATCGTCCGCCCATTTGAGCATCAAATCAACGGCATAAAATGCACGAGACTGCAAAACAGACAACACAACACAAGCTGTTCAAGTAATCCACTGACTCATGATCTTAACTGAAGGAATCATTAAATAGAGATGCCTCCGTGGCAGTTCTTCAACATTTTAGTATGTTCGTGTCTGCACGTAACTGTTTCTTCAGACCAGGTGTTACCACTTCCATAATGTTTCCGCTACTGTTTTCTAAGACCAGATTTACCATTTCCATACTGTTTCTGTTGGGGTACACATGAAACTTGACTAGTTCATATGTTTGAATCATTCATGTAAGCGAGCGAGTGCTCAGTAACTTCTTAGCGAAATGTGGCCGCCGTCTTTGATTTTAATGGCAGCGGATGGCTGGGAGAGAAAGTAATTTGTACTAAGGGGGTGAATGAGGGTAAAAAATAGGGAGGGGGCTGAGGTGGGGGGAGTCCTCTCGCCCTTCCCCCGCCCCCTACCCGCAACGTCTACTCTGACTCCAAATCAAACATGGCGATCGGATAAACGACTACGAGCTAAAAACGTTAACTTGCCCCAATAAGACGCCTGCACTGAAGGCTAGGCCACCTGTTTAGCCTGCGAGTAGGCTCTTGTGTTTGTGGTTCGCCTTACACTTTACTATCAAAGTGCTTCTCTTGACCCAGGTGTTGAAATGGGTACCGACGAATTTAATGCTGGGGGTAACCCTGCGATGAACTAACACCCTATCCAGTGGGGGGTAGAAATAATCCTTGTTGCTTCATGCTATAGAAACCGGAGTTACGCGCCAGCCTTATGAGCCACTTGGCTCGTAAACAGATTTTACTTTATCTCTTACTGAAACTCCTCAGTATTTACGAGCAAAAGCTTCTTTGTTAAAACTCGAACCTGCGAACAGTGTATCAACTTCTTGGGTGGCGAGTCGCAGACAGCCGCCTCGAACATCTCGCGGAACATTTTGAAAATTTTTGCCTGTAAATACCAAAAAGGCAAAAATATCAAGGAACAAATATATGAAAAAAACGGGATTACCAATTAATATCAACTTCAAACTCGCTTTCACCTCCTTCTATCTTGAATAAAAGTGGGTTTATTTCCGTATCAAACAAGTTACCTCAAGATGTTCAATTAAGACAGAAAGGGCTCAAACATTTAGCAGAATTTCAAACTAACGCAATATACTTATGCATACCTCGACGTCGGCCCATCTGTGATCAGGATATTGTTTTTCAAACATAGGAATGAACTCGTGGTGATGCACCTGTTTGTAATTAACAAGGGATCCATTGAGTGTATTTCGCATTAAGTGAGTGGAGCAGTAAAGGTCCTCTGTTCTCATAAGCTAACCTGCTTTAAATTTTCACTGTCCCGATAATTCATAACTGTGAAATGTTTCGCGTAAACATCGAAAGAATCCATAGAAAATGGCCTGGAAATAAAAGAAATAAACGACGTAAGAGGTGATATCAAAGCTTTTGATTCCAATAGAAACGTGCTGAGTACAAAAAAAATGCAAGCGAAAGAACTAATCAAGGTGAGGATAACGAGAAGAGTGAGACATAGGAAAGTATCTAGAACAGAAAATATTATACAGTTTTCTTTACAAAGAAACCTCCATAACACTGGCCTGTGATCAGATTCTTTCTGCTAGCATTTAAAGAAAAGTATGCCAGTTAGCTAGGAAATAAAGTACAGTATTTCGATCGTTGGGAAGGGGAGCAAAATTGTGAAGTTATATCAATTTAAAGTTTGGCGTTTCCGTAAATACCTTTCGTAAACTCGTCTTACTTACTGGTTGGCAAATCGTAACCAGAAAACTTTATCTGCATAGAGCACAAGGGGCTCTGCTGAGCTGATGAGAACTAAGTAACGTATATCAAACTTGACCTGACCAACATCTTCCCGATGGAACAGAATCGGGTTTTCTATGTATTTACAGACAACCTGAGAAAAAAATAATGACCTTTCCTTTTTATTTCAATTTAAGACAGAATCTGACGTCTGAACAGCTCAAGTGGAGTTCATCGTGAGTCAAGAGAGAAGTTGATTGACAATTTCATTACATCCATTTAGAAATCACTGGTGGTCCCTGTAATCTGATTGGCTCTAATTGGTGCGATTTATTCCCAAATCGCACCATTTTTTGCTCTAAATCGCATCATTGTACATTTGACTGAGTTTTTGACACATGACGTCAAAATATTGCATACAAAATAAGATGTAAAAACGTTTCCGGTTCCGCTTTTTATTTAAAAACCGGCTCAGTTCTGCATCAGTGAAATATTTGAATTGACCAAGTCCTGTATTTGGGCAATTTCAAAATGGATGTAATAAAGTGGTAATTGAACCTTGTGTCGTGCAATTTTAGTCTGAGATCATACTTGTGATTTCAAACCAAACTCGCGCTGCGCGCCCGTTCCATTTTGAAATCACGCGTATGATTTCAGCCCAAATTGCACTCCACTCAGTTCAATTACCATTATAAATAACAATGATATCAAAATATCATTCTTTGGCAATGGCATGTACTGCCAACAATTCTTTACATAATAATCCTCGCCTAAACCATCGTAGACCATACACTAAATTAAGCAAATCAAACAATACACACCTAACCCTTTACACCCTAAAATCAGTATGCCTATTCTCCATGCTGTTCGCTATACATTTCCTACAGAGCTGAATTTGCCCAACAATCAAGGGCTTCTTTGGGTGGTGATCATTTCCTTTATTCTTGTAATCTTAATATTTGAGTTTGATTAAGGGGTGGTACTGCTTGGAGAAATCAGAAGTCAAAGGGTCAAAACAATTGTCACACCTCTGCTATTTTAGTTAGATTATTGATATTCAACGTTTAAAATAAGTCAAATGACATAAGGGGGGGAATGGAAAAATCACTACTCCACTGTATTGGGAAGTTCTAATGCAAACACCGTATGGTGGAGCAGCTAGGAGAACTAACCGCGTTGTTTCAACCTTTAAAACAATCCTAAGCTTTAACTGGGTTTGTACAGGTAAAGCCAGCTAATTCTTCAGGCTCATATAAGTATCCTCAACTACAGGTAGACCAAGAACGGCTTACTGCAAAATAATCCCAATCAATTTTTGAGTTTAAAGTTGAGTTAGTTCGCTTCATGAACAGTTATTTCATCCTTTACAAAGCTATGTACAGACCTTTGGCCCAGTCTCTCTCAGTCTCAAAATGTAGTTTACATTTGACGTCACGTGGCTATCAAGGGCTCTTGCTAGATTCCATGGTTTACAAATCCAGTGATTATCAAGCCCTCTGAAATGAAGTGTCGGAAAAAAGAGATAAATTACAGCCTAAAAGTAAATAAACAGAGCCATTCTTCGATGAAACTGATATTGAGTATCTAGCTGGCTTTCAATTTTCTTTTGGCCTGAAATCTGTATCGTCATCAATAAAAACACCCTGAAGTTCGCTCCCACTCCCGCCGTAAGTGACGTAGTTACGAAGACGTCGCCTTCGCATGGGATCGAGGTTGTCGCTCAGTTTTCGCGCCAAAAACCGCGTCTTTACATCCAGGCTAGCACTAATAAACAAGTATTCTCAAAATCGAAAGGCGATGGAAGATGATATTTTAATAAACACACCTACCTCTGAAGGTGAAACAAATCAGTAAAGGTAAAAACTAAAGTTGACTTATCTTTAAAATAAGTGCATCACGTTAAAAAATACCGAAAGAAGGGACACACGACAAGTTCTCTCACATATAAAAATGATTGCTTTGGTGCAAATTAAACCACGTTTCCTCTTCATTCTCATTTGTAACTGTTTTCCTATGACTTGAGTCTTTTCTTTGTGTGTGTACACTTGTGTGTTTTTACCCTGTTCTTATTTAACTAGTGATACTTCGGAACAAAAAAGACCAATTTCGCTTAGAATTCTATGAATGGTTACGCAAGTCGATAAGCAAGCAAGGATAACAGTAAAAAAAAAAAAAAAACAGTCCCCAAATCAAATGTTTTCTCAGCGAAAGAAAGTAAGGTATGACTAGGGCAAATGCTGGGTGAATTACTTTTTGAAGTTTTCCAAACTGTATCCATTCAAAGAACGGCAGCAGCACAGACAAGTAAATGCCACACAAGTAAAATGGTGTAGCAGAGTAATTAAACCAAAGCACTATCTTTTACCAGTGAAAAAAATAGTAAGTACAAGCATGCATTCACACTTTAACAACTTATTTAATCTTAACCTTTAGTTCTCAGAGATGATTAACATGTAACTTCTCCCTATAATATCCGTACATTTCCCTGCAAACAGGTGATGAGAATACTAAAACTTATGAGGCAGAAGTTGTTATCTTGATCTAACACCAAATTCTTGTAACCAATTTACAAAGAAATGTCTAGCAGCTAAAGGAGAATTAACAATAAGATCTTGGGAGTTAAAGGGTTAGCAATAATTTCTTGCTATTAAAGTGATATATACCCACCTCTTCTTTCTCTTTATGTAATGATCAAGAAACAGGGGAAGTTCGAAATTTAAGTTGAAAGTAACAGGTAGCCATTCAGGTCCTCTCACAAGTAAGTCATCTTCTTTGCCATCTCCACAGGGGGTTGCATTTTGACACACTGCTGCCAGAAGATCTTTGCATACCAGGCTGTTCTCATTTGGAAACTGATTTATAAATTTACCATTTTCTTGAAGAGATCTAAAACACAAACACCAGACATATTCACGAGAATGTTCTGATGGAGTTTGAGATGATAGTATTAACACACTTGGTGAGTAGAAATGCATTTGTGCGTGCCCCTGTATCTATAAAGGTAATTAAAAAACCTTTCATCTCAAACAAGTCCTATAAATGATGACAAAGTTCAATTAAAATCATCACATATCAGGAATTACTTGTCTAGAGTTATTGTTTACTTGAGTCTCATTGTTGTTACTAGCTACATTCAGTCCAAGAAATCAAAGCTTATAAATTATTTCAGTCATATGACATGGGCATTGCAACCAACCTAAAATCTTTAAAATGCTCCCTTATCCATAGAATATCTGCTTCTTCTTTATTGTCTACCAGAAAAAATCTTGGATGTGTTAGAAAATCTGTTACTTGTTGAACATCAGTGAAAACACGATATACTTTTTCACTGTCAGGTGTTACAGCAGTAAGTTCTGTACATTTGTGGCTAGGATAAAGCTCACCCTGCCAGTCCTATGGGAATAAATTAATCAGTCAGTTAGTACAGTCACTCAATGGACCAAACAACCAAACAGTCCATCAGTCAGTCAACATAACTGTAGTGAAAAATCATCTCATTTGAAATGTCAGCCATGCAGCAGTCAAACATACATCAGTCAATCAATCACCAAACATATTCTTGAAAGAGGAATTTTCAACTAAAAAAACCTTCATCTGCATTGCACTGAGTTCCTCCCTGACAAGATCTATTGCTCTTTCAGCAGTCAATTGTTTGATCCAATTTTCATCTTCCAGCTTGTCAGGGAACCAAGGTAACAGAGAACAATCGCGTAAGAGTGGTTCTGTGATGGGTGCTACATAATCCCGAGTAACTTCCTCTACAGAAAAAAAGTATGTGTGATTAGAGTTCAAATAATTTATATTATTATATAGCTGGTAGCACCTACAGGCAAGATGAAGCAAATCCTGTGTTCTGATTGGCTACCTGAGCTGGGAAGATGGCTCTGGATTACCTGCTTAGATCCCGCCCAAGAAAAAAGGTGCATGGTGTTTACTTATAATCTTCCTAACGTTTGGACAAATTGTCAGTGACGAAGTAGCGAAAAGCAACAGAAGACATTCAAAACCCAAATCAAATTTTCTTTCATGCACAAGCCAACAATGATGTTGGAAAAATAAAAAGAATTTTCTTCTGTGACCTCAAGCCTCAAATGGATCATGCCTTAACGTGTGCATGTGTGCATGGGCTTGATTTGTATCCCCACTTTCCATTCTTTGGTCCTTCCACTAAAATACTAAAAATCATAGGCTGGTTATCAAACCTAATTGCCCCCTAGTTTCCACAATCTGACTTGTGGAGAAACAGCACTGATAAACTGGTAGGTTTCCATAAATAACAACACACCTCCATAATCCATATCTCTCAAGGGCCATAGTATTGAGAAGGCCATGCCAAGAGGTACATAATGAAGAATACCAATTGCAAAAGAAGGGTCATCTGAATGTTTTATACAAGAACCAAACTCATCCATGACAAACCACAAAGGAGTATGTTCATCATCATCATGAGCATCCTTTTGATACATGTGGCTGTTTGAATAACTCTAAAGAATTAAGACAAATGCTCTAAAGCTAGACAAGTGAAGGGTATCACTTGCGACACTTTTAAAATCAATTACTCAAATCAAGAGAATAAGAGGCTACCACAGAGATTATAAGACAGTATATAATCTTGCAATTTGAAAATCCACTTTCACCCAGTGTTAAATTTGATAACTTCCCTGGCAAGAAGTAACAAGTAATCAGTCTTCTGCTTACACTGTATTCTAAGATCATCACTACTATCATTTTGCCTCTGAATGATCACTTACTCTTGAAAGCAAAAGAAGTTTTTCCATCAAAACAATTCATATTAACACGCAATAAGAAAGTATATTTTTGGTGTGTAGAAAATCATGTCACTGTTCAATTATCAAGCAACTACACACATGTTTAGCAGTCCTATTCTAACAAAATAATTTGTAATTGCTGCATTAAACATACATGCTTTGGAGAAGACATGCACAGGGCACAATTACTGTGAAGTAAAGACAGTTGATTTATTTGAAGAAAGATAGAAGCATAGATTCACAAACTATGATAAAATACTTACCACCTTTAAACGGTAACTCTGATTAAAACTATAAATTAAAGAAATGCAAGGATTCAATTTTAGGGAAAAGGTACTGAAAAAAATGCTGGAATGCAGAAGTGAGTATGAAAATTTTGAGTTATCCCTGACTTTAACTGAGATTTTACCATAATAAAACGGAAGGAAATCGTTACATTTTTAGTTTTAATATCTGAATAAAAAAAAGACAACAGTTTAATTTCTTGGTAATTCATTTTTGTGAAGACCCTTATAAGATGTCACAAGGAAAACTAAGTTGTTTTTCTAATTATGAATTGTCAAGAAGCTTTACAGTTATCAAAAAGAAAAATGCCCAAGCAGTGATTTGTAGTTCAGTTTTGCTGAGGGACAAGAAATATGATGGAAATAATTAATGACTGAAAACTTGAGTAAAGAGAGTCACCCCAACAATTAACAAACACCTATAAATCATGGAGAAACAAAGATAAATGGCAATCATGAAATTAAGGAGAACTGACCTCCACATCTTTTCCAAGATTTCTTCAATGAGTTGTTCCTGACTCATTTGAAGTGATTCTTCATCTTCTAGAGAAAAAAATTAAAATTGTGGTTGTTGATGCAAGAAATTAGGTATATCATTTCACATACACTACATATAGTATCATACAATAATGAACAGTAAGTGCTTGTGGTATCATACTTGTTACTGCCATCAAAGAACCCATTCTATCTGCAAGACCAGGGATTGTCTTGAGCTGGGCTCTTGCATAATTCACTTGGTACGTCCAGGCATGATCAATTAAAAACACACTGTAAACAGAATAACAGAAAACACCTTCATTAAATACACCATCAAATCATGGAATACTGCATTGCTTGGTTCAAGAAAATTTTCACAGAAGGTCTACTAATACATGTATATTTAGTAAAAAATAATTTCTCAGAAATCATGGAGCTGTTAACAGATAACTTCAACTTACTGGAATGCTGCCAGCATTTGTTTCCAGCTTAGTCCAATATAAAAATATAATAACTCTGGTGTTAAAAAGAGCCAAGCATTTGACAAGGGGAAAGCATTGACATAGTACCATTTTGCATCCTTTTCTTAGGTTTATTTTTTTGTCATCGATCCTCCCTGACACACATGTATTTGTCAAAACTACATGACTTTCCCCTTTGTCCTCTTGTAACAAACTGTCATTGGGTGTTCTCTGAGGATTATTAATTTTACTTCAATGATGAAATTGACATAACCAAGCAGCATTATGAAGCTACCATTTAAATGAGGCCACCTTCACAGTAGGTTTTGCTAGTTGATGGGAAACAAATTGGAATTTACAAATCATTATTTCATACAATTGTATTCCCCAAGTAAATGAACTCTGTGTTAAGGAACATCCCCCTTAATTTCCCCTTACAACAAATTTCACTCTGCAATCAACAGCTTCTGCCACAGAAACTTTTACTTCAGTCAGGTACCCTCAGCGTATTATACTTTATTAAAAATTATTTTTAAATTATTTAAAATAATTCTGATCATTCTTACCAGTAAGGATCTGACACCTTCATTCCATCTTCTCTAGTAACAAAAACTTTCAAAATTCCATCTCTTTCTTTAACCATTGTGAAAAATATTCCAGCATCGTAAGTCTGCAATGGAAAATATAAAGACCTAAATAGTAAAGAGGGCAAGATCTCCGCTCAGCCTCTGATACAACAGTTTGCATACTCTTTCATTATAGAACAACCAATACCAAACTCTCCGTTTAATTTTGGCAGATAAACATATGAAATCAAGGTAAGAGGTTTGAGACCAAAAATGAATCAGGCTTTAATTTCAACAAACTTTTGAACCCTAAAATCATCTTTTATAGAGGCACTTGTAGGTGTCACGCACGATCAATTCGACATCGTCACTAACAAGAATATTCCACCAGAGTTCAAATAGACGTGGAACTTCTTTCATTGGTTGATTAATCTTCAAAACGCCGCAAAATCGCAAGCAACTGCGAATTGAAACAATCAAGGATGATACAGTATAGTGAAAAACCCTCAAAGGTCAGGCTGTTTCCACGTGCCAAAATAGGTCAAAAAATAATTTTTAGAAAATAAAATCACTACATTCTCGGCAAGATTTGATTCAGCTCTGAAAAACTTAACTTACCTCGTTCTTCAACTTTGTATGAATTGATTTCCAGAAGTGACAAGGTATTCCAACAAATTCTAACTGACTTCTATGAAGTGCTACGAATTGCAGATATTCCTCATCTTCGTCTGCCATCTTGGTTGCTGCAACAGCAAGGACTTTCGGGAATGTCACACAGGAAGATATTTTGTCACGCCTACATACTAAATGGGGATGCAGGGGAGCACGTCACGGCAGAATAGGGATTACAGACGTTCATTTGAAATCATATGGAGGGCTTTTATTCATTAGGGTATGAGAGTGGAGGGTCAGCCAAATCACTATCTCTGAAAGAGCAGTGGAACGGCATTGGCAGGTTGGGAGGATAACTTTTCAGAGAATAGTCCGAGATCTTTAGCCTTGTGCAAAGCTCATCCCTTCCGTGGCTCTCTATCAGAAGCCATACCAGCTGATGTTTTCTATACACCACCGACTGGTATCAGTGTGGTGATTGTGGCCTATACCGCTTATCTTAGGAAACTATTCAAAGAAGGATTAATCCATCTCATTGGTGACCGAGACTCGCCTTTATGTCATTAACTGAGAGGTACATAAAATTTTGCTGAAGACCACGTGGTCAGTCGGTCTGTAAGGCAGATCTGCGAAAAAAAACTGTTGCTGCCAGTTTACAGAGAAAAAAAGGGCAAAAATATCATTTAGTATTTCTAATAACAACTGGCAAAAGTTAGTGGCGGATCCAGGGGGAGGGTGCGGGGGGTCCGGACCCCCCTAACAGACCTGACGCTTACAACTTTGAAATTGAAATTCTTACATCCACAGGATCGTAACTAGCTGATCATTTTAATAAATCCAAGTAAATGGTAAGCGACCAAGGAATTATAACGTGCAACCGCCACTGGTGGGAGGGGGTGTGGGGGAGAAGTAATTTGCCTCAAAAGAGTCCAACAGTCCTTTCTTAACCAAAGTTTGGACCCCCCCCCCCCTATAAAAAATCATTGGATCGGCCCCTGAAAGTGGATCAATATCAGTTGCTTAGCCTAGAACGCCGAATCAGTAAAAAAGCTAAAAGCACGAATAATAAACACCCCTTATTTAAACAAAGTCAAGTAAATGGCCATGAGTATTTTGGTTAAATGCACGAATGTACATAATATGCAAGACTTTTAGTATCTCTAGGGATAGGGATATTGATAAGTTGCACTCCCAGGACTCACCGTCTTATTCTGGCAGTTCAAGTGACTCAGTGATCAGTATGTAAAAGTGGAGATAAGAATAGCTTACGTATAGCTTTCGATATGTATTGAAATTTGAATGAGCACAAAAACAACTATTTCTAGAAGTGAAGCATGACGGTTTCCTTATTAATTACCAATTCTCGCATTGCAGAAAATGAACCCTTTCTGTCATTAAAAAAACTAAAATAGTTTCGATCAAAAAAGATTGCGTGATAGTTACAGTACTGAAGAACGCTAAAAATAAATTTTAAGAAAAGGGAAGAGAACATAAACATCCGGGGGGCTGCTGAATTCAACACCCTCAACGAATTTAGAAGCATGGACCTAAAACCGCTGTCACAGAGCCTGCCACTTTAAGATATGTCCAGGAACAGAAGCAATTCTTAGACTGATTCCTTGGAGCTTACCGTTACTCGACTAGACAGAAATGAAAATTAATTTGCTCAGTAAATACTGAAATGCAATCAGTAAACATTAATGTTTGAATTATGCCAAAATAGTCTATTTGCATATGAAAAATATATACTAATCCTCTCTGACTTATGTCTAACTCAATCGTATTTCAAAACATTTTCATCTTTTGTGCCGATAAGAAAAGTTGGTGTTCGGACCCCACCCTCCCTTATAATCATGTTCACTTAACGTATCCGATAACCTCGGAATCTTTACAACCAAGGTTCTTTTGGCAAGCGTCGGACCGGATTTGTACTTTTCAGAAGTACAATGTACATTACAAACACTATAATTTCCAAACGGACTCCTCTGATTGCAGTTCCTTGAGTGAACAGGTCTTGGCGTTTTCGCTCGTTTCAGATACTCTGCTTCTAACTTCGATGCTGAGCGAACAATATCTTCAACTTTCAATGATGATTTTTGCCCTGCGAAGTTGAGCTTCGGAGTTTCTGCGTTTTCTCGTGCTATTTCTTTCAAACGTTCATCCCTGAAGTCCATCGAAAGTGGTGGCCTGAAAGTGTCCTCATCTGGCAAACTCAAAACATCGCCGTTGATATTGGGTTGTAAAGCCACACAGCCACAATCACCGGTTGCCAAGTGAGTTTCCATTTCAATAGTTTCAGGTGAAAACTTTGTTTCGCCAAGACGTCGAGGTTTTAATGAACGAGGGCTTGAACTCGGAAGTTTCCCTGTTAGCTTGTGTTCGATTTCCTTTTTGAAGTTCGGTAAATCGCCGAGAATTTGGCTTTTTCTTTGAGCGCACATTTGTCTTTCTTCCGCCTCAACTGATGAAGCCTTTTTGCGTGTTTCTTTGGGTTGATACAAGGTAGTTATCCAACCAACAGAAGCTCAATAATAAAGTAACAATGTCTTTTTTCTGGTTTGCCCAGTCGTCAGGACGAATATTCACTGCCGCAAACTAGTGTACTCGATTGATTAATTGTAGCTGCCAAAGATTTGAAAGTGGAATGACAAATCAAATATTATGCATGAGATCCCTTGGTTTTTCTTTTCCAAGACCTAATGACTACAATTTCACGTTGTTAAGTTCTTGATTCATTTTTTTCCGCCGAAATCTTCTTATTAATGAGTGATTTTGATCCCATCCGACTTGGTGTCTGTGAAATCATCTTGAAGGAATTACAAATCAAAACTGTGGGAAAATTTGCATTGAGTAAACCTCAAATGACATTTGCTCTTCAAAAGCAGTAATAATTTGAATCTCTAAAAAGATGCATGGGGTATGTAAACAAACTTGTCGAAGCTGTGCACCAATATTAGGATAGTCTGAAAACAGCGGTCATACTGAAAAGCGAACAAAAGGGTTAACACAACTGACAATCTGCATAACAAAGAAACTCCAGGACTTAATACTTTAAAAGATGTGAAGCGAATTCGCACTAAAAATAAATGAACGCATGTTGCGTCAATTAAGTACAATAAGTTCGATCGACGTTCTCTTAAGTAAACACTGCAATTTCCTAATCCAGATGAAGATATTAAATGATTGAGGGAGGGATGAAAACTGGCGAAACTTTGTAAACGGTAATGAATCGTCTAAGATCGAAGTTATGGCGTGCTCTAATTTTGTGGATTAACTTCGAATGTAAGATAATAATTAGTGCCTACGTGGTAAACACACTAAGTAATATTGTAGTTCCCAAATTGATTTACCAACGTTATACACTACATTCATGAGAAATCGCCCGAGGAAATACTGTTTTCCTCAAGGTTAGAATGTTGTATTTCACCGGTGCATTGGTGCATTCTACCTATATGACAAAAAAAAAACTCTTTATTATGTCCAGTAATCCTTTTTATTCGGACACAACATGCTCTGTGGCCATGAAAATATAGTTGCCCTTAGCAACAATAACTTCACTGCATTGCATAATTACTACAGTCTCTTATATTATGCTGATGCTTTGCAACCGCGCATCTGTGGAAAAATGTGTGGATAGAAAAACATTTTAGGCCTATGAGATAAATTCTAAAATTTAATAAACACATGCTTGTTTCCAAAGTGGACTCCTTCAACATAGTCCAACCTTAACTGATTAAAAAAAAAACCACAAGTTGGTTTGTGTGGTCTCGTTCTGCTTGAAAAATATACATTCTTTTTAATTCGGTAATGATTCAGTTCAGTTCAGTACCTCGTGTAAATTTAGCCTGTCCTTGCCTAGTATTATCAATTCTTTTCCAGTTCATCCTTTATCTCTCTGAAGTTTGTCTCCATTAGTCAATAATAACTCCAAGATTTTCCTGGCTAATGGAAGTTAAACTTCAACGACCCCAACACCACTCAAATGTTTTCACGTAGAAGTTCACATCACGTTAGTAAACCGAAATCAGAGTCACATCGACCCACATCTGACTCCTCTATTCTTTGTAATGTTACAACTGAAACCGTGAAGGATACCATCCGCCAGAAGAAGCTCGATAACAAGCTGCTGAAGCTCCTCCTCTCGGTTTTTTTCCCTTCCCCCCTTTCAGTCTGTAAAGAACGATTCAGAACAAGATTCAAGAGAAAGGCGGTTATCGAGCTAACTTCCGTCACAGCAATTTCCTAAGTTATAAACTGGTTCGCGACATCAATTTCCATTGATAATATTTTCGTTTATAGATCTGCATGACATTATTCAAACTTGGAACATATTTCATAACCAGTTCTGAAGCTTCCTTCTGGAATAAGTTATAAAAGGATTTCAAAAAGTACACGTAGTACTCTGTGGCAACTCAACACGTAGCTTTTAATATGTGAATGACGTATAACACCCGCCCACAAATTTTGCAGCAGTAAGTCCACGTCAGGAAGTATTTATCTTCTGACTCCTGGTTCACAGGAAAACTAAAGAATAAAACCCATCAGTTTAAATAGTGCGTGATCTTAAGTCTTATGGTTAGTGTCCAGGCATGGAAGTTTGATATCAGTTTTTTTCGATTGAACAAAGTTCTTCAAGTCTTGATTTTCTGCGGAGGCACACAACGAACACTTATTCTCAAGATTGGTTAGGTTTTCCTCTGGAGTTTGGAACGTCATAGCAACTTTACTGCCTGTTGGTTGTGGAAAGGACTTTCCATTTTCCTCTTTATCATTCCCACTGCGGCAAACTGCTGGTATAGAGCTCACATTAACCATAGAAGCACGCCTTCGCGGCGCTTCTTTCCCAAACACAGGGGTGTTATTGTGCTTCCTATACTCCAGTGAGTTGGTCGGATTGTTTGGAAGACACTTTGAGCTTATACTTCTTCGAAACAGAATAGCTTGATGCACTGACATACCCGGAACAAAATCACAATTCTCAGCAGAATTATGTTCAAATTTCAATGCCTTTTTGAATTTGTAAAGTTGAGCCGGTGGAGACCTACAATGAAATGCTGGGAACGAGTAAACCCATCTCGGACTGTGAGCTTTAGAGTCCCAGTTCATTTCGTATTTGGGTTTTTCCTTGTTGGTATTTGAATGCCTTCTCTCCGGAGATTTATACTCTTTACGACTAGGGGAAGTAACTGGCTTATATCCCCAGCCACTCACTTGTGGCGGAGAGCTACCATCAACTTCAGCTACAGCAGGAATGAGAGCCAAGTTTGCGCGGCAACTTCGGTTTTCGGTGCCACCAAACCCGGTCTTCCGCTGGGATGGCTGGGAGCAAATTGACATCAGATCAATAGCTGGTAAAGAGCCAAGTGAATCGTCGCTTGTCCGTGATCTACTTCTAAATTCCTGCAAGTCGAAGAAGGGCGATGCTTGGGGTAACTGACTTGGAGAAATCTCATCAACAGTAGTCGACATAAGGATAGGATGATAGTAAATCGACCTGTAAACGATTAAAGATGATAACACTCTAGAAAAACGTGAGATCCTACTTTATTTTTACCACCAAGTAAGATGGGAGAAAAGAAAAACTGAAAGCCTTTTTCTGGCATACGCACTGGAATTTCCGTTAAAAACTGTTGAGATAAAGAGACCCTTCCTTACTTGTTCATCATACGTGGCCGTTAATATTTCAGCAGACTTAGACTATTGATCAAAAGTAACTACACATCACTTAAAAATGTCACCAGACGCGCTAAGAAAACTTACCAATCTGTGTTTCAGCTCTTACTCTATTTCAATATCTTCCCTTAATCCCATCAGTAATTGTTTACTGTTAGAAATATAGGTTGTCCGTGATTATTTCGCTGCCGTCTCTAGGATTTAAAGGTTTTTTTTTAATTTGATCAAGACGCAGGTTAATCCTAGTTCATTCACGGTAAAGTTCTATAGTATATAAGCTATCCCTGTCGTCTCTTTTGTTAAATTTTAATGAAAATACAGAGGTAGGATTCAAAGACCAACAAATGATTGGATAATCATCTTATCAAAAGAAGTCGAAGTGGACAGACAATGGTAAAGGCGATTAAATTATTTCTTTAATATTTGCATAGACTGAAATGGAAATATTAAGTAAGCCAGTGTTTATTTGTTGTCTACTTGTTTGTTTCCTGGTTCCAACAAATGCGCCCATAACCTTA